GTTATGTGAGGTGGGGTACACGAATGCATGCATGACATTATACATAAATCTGCTGACGTTTCAGTACCAGCCAAATTCCAATCTTTTTTATATTGCTTGCTTAAATACCTTATAGACACAATTTAACTACCTTTACATGTACTTTAGATGAAACAGGAAAGCTTATTCATGTGTGAGAATTCACGTGTTCATATGTATTTCTGTCAACCCCCTAATGTATGAAACCAATTTGTAGGGCATCAGGAGAGCACGAATCATCTAGACGGGTCAAGTCGGAGCTTCTGGTTCAGGTAGATGGTGTCAATGCTTCATCCACCAATGAAGACGGTACACGCAAGATAGTGATGGTTTTAGCTGCTACAAATTTTCCTTGGGATATAGATGAGGCATTGAGGTCTGGTCTTTGTTTCGTTCACTTTCATTGTATTTGCTTTTATTTCTTGAGGTTTTAAGTAGGGTGCTTATTTAATCTGATTCATTAAGGATTAATGCAGGAGGCGGCTGGAGAAGAGAATATACATTCCACTTCCAAATTTTGAGAGTCGCAAGGCGCTTATAAAGATCAATTTGAAAACTGTTGAGGTAACTCTTACTGTCTACATGGCACTGCAAGTTCATTTATAGGTCTGATTGGATATTCATAAAATCATGATTTGGGAATTTGCCCACTTGGACTTCGAATAATATTTATACTGCTTGGCATGGCTACAAGAAGGCTTTATTGTGATCATTGCTCATGCTCTCTACGAAAAACCAATTTGTTGATTTATAATGCTATAATTTACCAAATAATAGAAATCTAAAAATTTTTAGTTAGTTCGCAACGTTTTTGTGTTTTTATTTTTATCATATGAAGGTTTTGATAAAACAAAGCAGTATGTCAATAATTCATCCAAGCAAAATGTAAGGGTTTACCCATGCGGTTCCCTCTGGATCAGTTGGTAGGAATATGTATTTAGTGTTAAAATTCTCACTTCTTTATAGTTTTTAATCCTTAAAGTAGGATATAGTTTCTTCATTTGACAACTCTATGTCAATATTCATTTGTTTACTTGCAATATTTTACATGCTGTGAATCAGGTGGCTCCAGATGTGGATATTGATGAAGTGGCTCGTAAGACAGAGGGATACAGTGGAGACGATCTAACAAATGTTTGCCGGGATGCTTCTTTGAATGGCATGAGGCGTAAGATAGCAGGTAAGACACGTGATGAGATCAAGAACATGTCCAAGGACGAGATTTCAAATGATCCTGTTGCAATGTGCGACTTTTTAGAAGCCTTGACTAAGGTTCAACCAAGTGTTTCAGCAGCTGATATTGAAAAGCACGAGAAGTGGTCTGCTGAATTTGGTTCAGCATAGAAGGATTGATCGACTAATATTAGCAATTCACTGTCCTCTGTTTTTTCATGCCTCATTTCCTTCAGAAGCCACATTTATCGTTTTTGTTTTGATTCTGAAGTGTCTTCGGTGACCGGTAGGATGATGTAGATGATTCAATACTGGTCCCTATCTTTTTTTCACTAATTATTCGATTTGTTTAGCTACTTGAATCTGTGTTGATTATGTTTCCCTAAAGTGCATTGTGTTCTTGTGTATCAGTTACCATGTAGCCAAAGTTGTTCATTTCATATGCTGATTGGAAATTCATATTTACTGTTTACCATTTCCAACGCTGCTAGGCAATAGTTTGACATATTTTTTCTTTTAGGTTAAATCCATCAAAGGCCACGGGAACTTTATACTTTGTGCTACCATGGCCATTCAATTTGATTTTGTTTTACCAAGATCATCCAACTCTATACTTAATGTCATCATGATCACTCAATTTGATTTTATTTCATCATAACCACTCAAATTTCATACAATGTTTTACCTTTGTCACCTAATTTTATATAACGTTTCATCATGATCAATTAACTTCTTTGCACCTTTTTCACTAGTTTTGAAAGAGGTAAAACGGCAACATTACATTATATATATGTTAAAAAGACAAAAATAAAATAAAAACTTATTTAAAAAAAACATTTTTAAAATAAAATAAAATTTTGTTTTTAAAAAAAAACCTTAGAAAAATAAAATAAAAATTTATTTTTTTTAAAATAAGTTTTTAAAATTTTAAAAAAAAAAATTTACTTTTTTTTTTCAAATTTATTTATTATGTATAATGAAAAGTTACCATTTTACCCCTTTAAAAATTAGTGAAAATGATAAAAAGAAGTTGGACAGCTATGATAAAACGTTATATGAAATTGGATAATCATGGTGAAATAAACTCAAATTGGATGATCTTGATGACACTAAATATAAAATTGGGTGGTCATTAGTATATTTAACCCCTTTTTCTTTCACTTATTTTTGTGTTTAGAAATTTACATTTTACATACTTCATTTTGCATGATGGTTACCCCAAAAAAAAAAAAAAAAAAAAAAAAAAAAAAAAAAACAAAATTTAAAAATATTTATTTAAAAACACCAAAAAAAAAAAAAAAAAAAAAAAATTGATAAAAATTTAAGTTAAAATCAATAATTTATTTTAATTACACATTTAATGAGATACATCATTTTTCACGGATGCACGCCAATTTGAATTTCAGAAATTCAAATCAATGGACAAATGCATGTCACACATGCATATGTCAACTTGTCTATAAAAAATCAATATTTGTACAGCATAATTTATATTACATTATAAAGTTTTACATACCATATTAAGGTTATGTATTGCATAGGAATGTAAGATATATAAAATGTATTATCTACTTTTCCTAAACTCTAACAACAAATTAAATAATAATAATTTAAGTAAGTTAATAATATATTGAAATAATTACATTTCACTCTTCCAACATTATAAAAACAAATATAAATTCTTAGTTTCTTTATTTTAATTAACAACTTTTGTTCAATGGATAAAAATTAAAACAATGAATTAATATAATTTTTATATTATAAATATATATTTTTTATAGCTAAAATCAATTCCTTTGTCATTTGAAGTCGATGTAATTTTGTAACTTAATTATATATAGAAAGATGAATAAAATTCACTATAGTTGCAATAGTGTTCGGGACTTTTACTGTAGCTAAACAGTGATTTCACTGTAGATATCAGTCATACCCATTTTTTCTTACTCAAAAGGATGGTGAAGCCATTTTCCCACGCAAACCCAGACACAAGCTTTCTTCTTCATCATCATCATTTTCCTCTCACTTCTTCTCTCGTTTTTTTGTGATTAATCTCTTCGTAGAAAATTCTCGTGAATAGAGAGATAAATCTTGGCATACAGTTTTTCTCAGATTATGATTTTGTTTATTCAAGATTCTACGTGCAAAATTTTTGATTTCGAGTGAGTAGAGAGGTATGTCCTCGATTTTATCGGATAATTATAATTTTGTTTATTCGATTCACAATTTTGAATTTTTATGTGAATAGAGAGGTATATTCTTGGTTTAATGTAAATTAAAATTAGCTTGTTAATTTATTTATGTCTCTTGTGTATCTCATGCATTAGCAATTTTGGCAGAAATCGTGAAATATGGCTTCTTGTAGCAATCTTGGTGCGGAGCCTCCGCACAGACTGTGCGGGGACTTTTTGGGTTTTAACACTAAATAATTTTGAAAGTATGGGCTTATCTTATCTTAATCCCTAAATTTACGTGTTAGATGTTTGAGTTTTCGTCATTTCATTAATTTTGGGTGTATGAATTTTGTTTGTTGGTGATTGTTCCGATGATGCCGTGAATAGACTTTTGATATGTGCTGCAGAAAAAAGTCTTGAGTTTTAATTTTTTTTTTTTAAAGAGTCAACTAGGGAAAAAATCTGTCTTTTTATTTATTTTCAACCATTTTTTTTTGTTGGGACTCTTGATACGGGTTTATTCATACTTTATGCAGATTAAGAATGTGTGTATTTCAATTTGTATAGGTCTTTTTATATTGAATTGTTGGCCATAAGATCATCAGAAAATAGAGAGGAAAAAAAAAAGAAATATAGATTAATTTTTTAGGCTATGGTTTGGCACCTGAAGCATGAAAATGTAGGACTGAAGGAATTAGCAAGAAATCGATGAATGATTAGGTGAAGTATATAAATTTGGTGAAAATGATTGAATTGCTCCAAGTATAAGGGGTTTTGTTATTTTAGTTAATAGTTGCAAATGGTTTCTGTTAAGTTTTTAGCTATAGGTTTAAGCAGAGTATAGTAAGTTGATTGGGCAGACCATTTGAACCTCTATCTATGCCTATAGAATTCTCGTTGCTAAACTTTTTTGTAGCAATTAATTGAAAATGAGCCAGCAGCACATTATGATTATATGTTGCATGTTTTTCTCAATGTTGATGGCTATACATTTCATTTTTTAGGAAGTTATTTCCACTTTTCATCCTTTGCTAAATATTCTCATTTTTGCTGAATTTTGGTGATATTAATTCTCCTAATCACTTTGAGCATCCAAACACCTAGAACTCGTGAAGTATGGCTTCTTATAGCAATCTTAGTGTAGAGTCCATGCATAGACTGTGCGGGGACTTCCCCGCACGGAATTGATACTTATATTTCCACAATTTTAAATCTAATTTTTACTAATTACCAGAGAAAATTCATGTTAAAAAATTTAATTCAAACTTCAAAAGCATGTTAGAATTATGACAAGAAAACTAAAATATCTACATCACACTAATAAAGACATATTAAATATAATAATCGTGCAACGCACGTGGCATCGACTAGTGTGTATATATATATTATGCAATGACAATACTCGACTGAATGTTAATGGAGGGGGACGTGTGAAGTAGAGAGAGAGAGAGAGAGAGAGAGAGAGAGAGAGAAGTTTTTGATAAAATGAAATAATAGTAATTGAATTTTTGAAGAATAAAAAAAGTGAAAAAATTGATAGGTTAAGTGTTACATAAATAGAATGCACAAGGGTACTTATTTAAACTTGACGATCAATATTTCCTTTTTCAAACAAGACAAAAATCTACCATCCGAGCCTTCGATTATAAATAGAATCCATTTTATCCAAATTCCTAATTATATATAAGTTCAACATTTATTTATATTCACTTTTCTCAATTATCACAACAACCTCAAAGTATAAAAACATTTCGATAAAAGCTCATAATATGACAATTACTCAGTGTCATTACACTTTGGAAATTTGACCATACCTCTCAACTCTTTCATCAATCCAAGCTCTCATGTCTGCCAACACAAGATTTGCACTTTCATCAGGCTCTCCTTGGATCAATGAATGGTACATTCCTTCATACACCTTCAAACTCTTGTCCTCACTGCTTGCCTTTTCGTACAACATTTTCGACCCGGATGGGCAAGTCACTCCGTCCAAAGTTCCATGGACTGTCAAAAATGGCACTGTCACCTTGTGGAAATTGCTTTGTATGTACTCGCATTGCCTTGCTATCTCTCTCATTGTTCCAACTCTAGGCTTCCCGGTGTATCTTCTTGGATTACTCGCGATAATCTTCAACTTTTCGGGGTCTTTAATGGCCTTCCCTACCATCTTATTGTCCGGCATGGCTGCCCATGTATCAGCTAATCCGAATAGCAATCCATACATGAATAAATGTACCTTTGAAGACAAACCATCATTGTAGTTGTAATCGACTAAATAAGGCTTATCAATTGAAACTTCTATACCTGTGAATTCTCAGAAATTCTAAAGAAATTAGTACCTTAGACGGCTTCATTGGTTCCGGAATTACAAAGAGCGGGGCGGAGAAGATCAACCCAGTCCAAGTTCCAGGCTCCGATTGGAAGTACATCGACATGGTGGCAAGTCCACCCATGGATTCCCCAAACAGAAAAGCCGGTAAATGCTTGTACTCATCGCTAAACCTCACGCTCTTGAAGAAGCTCAAAGAGGAGGCAGCCACCTTATCCATTTCCCCTAGGTAGCAACGGATCCCTTCGGAGCGGCCGTGGCCAAGGAGGTCAGCGGCGAAGACGGCGTAGCCCCAGGTGGCATAGTGGATGCAGATCTTCTGGAAGAGCCACCCGGTATCGGAACCGTAACCGTGGGACATATACACGGTGGCCTTGATGGGCTGGGTGGTGTCAAGTGGTAGGAATGATTGAGTAAAGAGTTTGCCATTTGGGGTTTCGAAGTACGATTGTGCGTTGCGGACTCCTTGGGAAGAGTAGTATTCTTCCTCCGGCATGTCACCCCAGAAGTTCTGAGGCGGCGGCGCCATAGGCGGTGCAGCTGCTGTTTCTGATTGTGCTGGTGGCATTTTTTAGTTCTTTGGAAGGGAAGGAAATTTGGAGCTGGAGTTGACTTTATAGAGCGAGGGTTGGTGGTTTTTACCAACCCCGAAATGGTTTTTGAGTTGGTTGTTTCAAAAGGTTGTGGGGTAGGAGGGAGTAGGTGGACCGAATTTTGGTGGGGCCAAACGTGATTTAGGGATTAGATCAGATTGGACAGACGGTGGAGATCAAATATCCTGTTCCAGCTGGTGCACACATTTTTTCTATGAAAGAAATATACTTGAATTCTGTTGAAGCTAACTTGGCTTAAAAGATTTGCCTAAAGCCGGGGTGTAATTCTCCGATGAGTCGGTCTGACAAAACACGAACTTAGTTAGCCACTGTTGTCTTTTCCTCGACTGTCTTTTCACTACCATCATTTTTCGCTTCCTTGGCAATATCAACTTTCTCCATCTGGTGAGTAATTACATTGGCTCCATCCTTCAACTCTCCATTAGCAGCTGAACAGTTTAGCTCCTTGTGAGTCGAAGGGTCAGTCGCCATATTCTGATAGTCCCGTCTTCTGATCCAGAGGCATAAGATTCACTGGACCATGGTGACATTTGTTGCATCCTATGATAAAAGAACATGTGCAAGAACAGCTTAGGAAATATTCCATGAAAGAAGAATCAGTTCACAGTAGATCCAGAGTAAGACTAATATTGGTAGTATTCACGATTACAGAAACAATGAGGGTGATTATGAAACTAATGATATACACCTAAAACAGGTTAAGAGATCGATTTGTGCTGTTAGTATTAACTTCTCTAGTCAGTTAAACTAAAAGATTAGATGCAAAACGTCAAGAAATTCAATCGGAGACCGGGGATTCTCTCACAAAAGAAGCCACCCATGGCAAGGATTTGCTTCATACAAAATCTGTTCCTTAAAAGCTTGAATGGTTCAGGATGCACTAGCAAATAGATGCTGCAATTACAGTCATCTCACATCCACTGTCCGTGGAGGACAAAAAGGAAAGGGAAAAAAGGAGAGAAAGAAAGCTTAGAAAGGTCGTCGAAAAAGATCCCAGAATAGAAAAGTATGACAGAATGTTGGTGAGAAAGATAAAAGACTCGTCAACTTCTGCCCCTGTATGAAAATCAAACACACGAATCCACGTCTTCTCCTCCTGCAATGAACTTATTACCATATTTAGGTTCCAATGAAGCTGATTCCACAACACGGGGCATATCATAGCTCTTCACCAATCCAAAGCTGATAGAAGTATTGACATGTCGTTAGAGACGCAAACCAACATAAACACAAGCTATGCTTGTGCATTTCCTGCCAAAAAGGATGGCCGGCAAGGAAAGTAATATTCATCCCCGATCTTTGGAACCATCAAGTGTTTTGGTCCAAATGTGGAGCTAAATATTGGTTGAGACTTCGAAACACAGGTGGGGAGGGAGGGACGGGATTACTGATTTGCATCCCAGAACTTAATAGTTGACCCATCTGCGGTTGTTATGTAACGTCCATCTTGACTCACTTCAGCACTGGTTACTGAAGAATTGGTCTCAAGTGTTCGAACAATTGTGCCAGTTCTCACATCCTACAACCTAAGCCATCAGTTCATAGAACATTAATGGAATTGATATATTGAATGTCAATAAAAACTGAAGTTTTAAAAACACAAGTAGAAGTGACAGCTGATAGAAGTACTCAAACAGAAAGAAATAATATCTCTATATACTTATTCTAACAAAAATTCTCAAAATTCTTTAGTCCAAGAGTTCAGTTGGGGTAAAAAATAATATACAGTAAGGTGAAAGTTCTCAGAAGTGCCAAACCTGTGCGCATGAGAGAGATTTACAGGCAGCTACATGAATTACAGAAATAAATAACTTAAATTTTCAGTCCACGTACCTCAACCCACCCATATCAGGGCAGGAACTTAATATAGTTTGGTCACTGTGGAGCCAAGCAACAGTTCTAACGGACCCAGGAGACTTTTCAACTTCTGTAGGGGGTGCATCAGGTCAATTTAAATCAAATATTCGAAGACATTTTTCAACAGCTCCAGTTAGTAAAAGGTGGGTATCCTGAAAGTTAATCAAATAACATAATCCTTCACCAGTTGTCAGATAAATATAACAATAACATAAGAACCATATTGAGCAAATAATTCCAACCTACGTTGAAGCCCAAAGGTCAATAGTGGCTTGTTTATGTTGATAGCAACTATATGTGGATTAGGATTAGCATATCGACGATTTATTTAAGAAACTGAAATTTAAAAAGGAAAGGCTGTATGAACCTCGGAACCGGGCGTGGCTTGCAAACCTACCAAGATACACTAAATAAAACTTAATTTTTGCGTTGAAAGCCATTCAAACGATGTCCAGCCAATTAAAAGGTTTGCAGTCCAAATCCTTACGGAAAATGAAGAAACAGAGGAAAAAAAAAAATTGATTCAAATGTTTAAAGCCATTATTTATAGTTCAAAAGTACCTCTGAGAAGGCACATGTCCGACCTATGTGCTTGTGCTTGAATGAATGCAATTCACCCCCAGTTAACGAATCCCATAATTTCCTGAAAACAATAACATAGACCACAAATAGCATTAATACATACTGCAAAGATAGACAGGATGCCCAAAACCTAAAAATTTACAGATTTTGGGACTAGGCTCTATTTGCAGTTTGTTGACAGCTAAGAAGCACGGGCAAGGACACACGGGCACATGTTATTCAAACAAGTAGGACAAAAATACATCAATTAATATTCTTTACATTGTACATTTATATAGTATACCTTCTATTTTTATACTTTCATTTTATTAAAGAAAAATACCTTTTTTAACTTTGATTTTTGTTGGTGAAATCTTGTAAATGAGAGGAGCGTCCACTTCTATAAATTAATACTGCTAGTTAACCAAATTTGACATGAAGTTGGAAGGACTTTTATCATATTATTTTGACCTTTTTAGGCAGACATTCTTCCAAAAATTACGGAATGGAAGTCCTTTATGTGTCACATGTTCCTTGGTTGTTAAAACTATAATATAATGAACAATACAGGCCAAGTGCCAAATGGCATTTTGGATAATGCACAAAGAATGTTCCTAAAGTATCCTTGAGTGTCGAAAATATAAAAAATTATATAGAAATGGGAAACACCGCACAGCATGTCAAGCACGTGTTGGAGGATCTGGGGACGGTCTCTGTCTGACACGACATGTGTCGGTTACAGAACACACCAACTCTTTTAGGAGTTTTCATGCTTCATGGGTTGCCAACTTGCCAATCAGACATCACAAATAAGTGTCAAATAAGTGATTCAATGCCCCCCAATGGTGCAAAGGTCAGGAGTGAGGTTATTTCACGTCTTGCTGGCAGTCGTAGTATGGGAATTCGATTCCTGAGACATGGAATTGGACTCCTTGTAGACGCAGTATACATGCAACTCTTGTTCCCTGACTTGTTGGGGCACATCCCGCGATTTACTTCCCTCACAAAACTTTAAGGATGGAGCGGTGGAGGCCCTCGAGGTTGGGGTTCAACCTTTTTAAATAAGTGATTCAATGATATGTCGATTCCACATTAGAGGTCTAATTTTCATTCATGGTATATTTTAAATTCAATAAATGTAAGGACTTGACCACGTACGAAGAAAAATCTACAGATGCAGAGGCAGCACATAGAGCATGTTTATCTAGACAACAACTCCAAATTGCACCTTTATGCCCTTGAAAGTTTCCAATCCAATCTCCGGTTTCTCCATCTCTCAACATTGGTGTGGAATCTGAGTAAGCAAAGAAGATACCATAAAGAATAGTTCAAAGTGTAATAAATTGAAGTTGAGCTCATAGAAACCTTATAAATAATCCACCCTAATTGTTCACAAGAGCATATTTATGGCTATCTTAACTGTATAAATTACACAAAAATAAAATAAAATACAAGGTACAAACAGAAACAAGTTTATGGTCTTGCATTGTGACATCAGCAACACAATCGGAAAAATCTGTTTCATAAATGGCAGCACTTAACTCGAATGACGGCTGCTAAATGGCAAAGCTGTTCATTTTCAAGCCATAAATACTAGTAGCGGTATGTATAAATGACATAGATCATCACAAGTCACAACTACTGAATCCTAATGACTCATTCTGTCTGTGTAAATCATAGCTAAACTTAATTAAATAGTATACAAACAGCTAAAGCTCTCTCCATTATCAAAATTTATCCCAAACTGGCCTTTTCATTCTGCAGGGGTAAGGCGAGCCTTGTGCAGAGGCTATCAATGTAAATGTTTCCAATGTTCAAGAGCAGTTAATAGACACCATTTTGACAATATGTTTGCATTCATGGCTTCTTGTACTTCTTCTTAATCATGAATTCTGAACTATCAAAAAAACATAATCCCAGTCCTCTTTGTTGTGGCCATAAAAGTAAAATCATTGCCAGTGATCATAAATATAAATAAACGCCTTAACCCATCAAATTTAGCTTGTAAAGTACCTTTATTTCACATCTATAACTATTTAAGCTGCACTGCTATCAGGATACAATCAAATTTGTGGCATTCCACAACCTTATTCAAACAATTAATCATCAGCATCGTTAAAAAGCAAAATTAAGATCTCACAAATGGAACACATTTCGGCAGAGAATATAAATTCACCTTTGCTAGCACTAACAAGGAAAAACCCATCGGGAGTGATCGGGCTGTAGAACAAATCAACAACCGGACGAGAATGTCCATAGCAAACCAAGGGAGCTACTACCTTCTTCTTATCCATTCTTCAAATGCCCAAACTATAATCCAAGAAAAATGAGGCTTCTAAACGCAAAAGAACTAACAGAAATGGCCTCAAATCAGGATGATAATTTGAACCCAGAAAACGACAATGACACTGCCTAACAAAAAGTCAGATTTTGATATCGAATCTTCAAAAAAAAAAAATGGAAATTTCTGCAATCAGATCATCTATGAGAGTTTTAATTACAGTTAATATGTATTTTCGGAATGGATCCAAGCCTCCTAACCCTAGGTAGATCAAATTCAGATGTTGAATTGAGAAAAATAGACGGAAAAATTAAGGAAAATAAGAACTCCGCAAGAACAAAATTCGACTATTTATAGGGAGGAATCTTCGATCTATACATATTTTCCTGGTTTTT